GACAAGTTAAGAATTTGCTATACATTTTCAGGCAAATGTGTGGGAACGTTCACCGGGGGAAGAGGTATGGGACGACAGCTGGCATGGCATCCAGACGGTAATCTGGTGGCATCCGGACGGTAATTTGGTGGCTTTAGCACTTAATTGTAACCGAGTTAAGATATTTGACATAGCCGAAGGCGAGCTAATACAGTGCATTCGTCGCCGGAGAATGATGTTGCATTTCACCCAAGTGGAAATTTCTTGGTGACTGGCGGCGATGACGATACAATAAGATTGCTTAATTTATTAGAAGGTCGAACAATTTATACACGGTAGTAGTGCACTTTAGCGGAACCAGGTCAAAATGGCCGGGAAAATTATTCACTAACTGGCCATACTAAGTTTGCGCCGTCGCTTTCTCTCCACATGGTAGACATTTTGCTTCCGCGGGCGACGATCGACAGGTAATTTCTGCTTTGTGTGTAAAAAAATTATATAATATAAATTGTTTCCTGTATTCAACAGTTGCTCGTTTGGAAATCTAATTTGCATACATTTGATGCCAATAGCGCTCGCAACAAACAAGCCAGTTCTCAAAGATTGCAAATTGATTTTAGTCATGCAACTTCTCCACATAACTCCGCCATAGACACACCAGTTGCTGGAGTACCAAAAAGCTGTGATGAAGGTATTTTAATTGATACACGACAATCGGTGGCATATGGAATGCGTGATGGAAATTTTCTGGTGCTTGATAGTCAATATACTACAAGAGAACCATCTCCAAGCAACTTTACCACACCACACCGTCAACAACAAGAGTCGTTAGATAAAGTAGAAACATACGCTTCTGCTGATAGCGTACCTCGTTTCTACACATGCCAAACAAAAGTATCAACAGCGATGGCCAGAGAACACCAAGCAAACATTTTTAATATTCATTTTTGTTTATCTTAAGATTTCGTTTGCGCTTAACTGCTTGGAAGGCTGCTGATGCTGCTGATGACTCTTCATAGAAAATGCATTGTTTGTAATTCATTAAATGTGATGTGTACATACGTATGTACATATTTCTGTTTGTATTTTAAACTATGTACGTTAACAATTGACATTGTATTAAATTATTACTTGAACACGTGCAAATTGATCTGACCTAAAGATGTGGGAACCTCTAGAAAAGTAATTGACTGCAGTCAAGATGACACCTTTTTATAGTGTTAAGCAAACCATTGAAAACCCCTTACTAATTAGGTTTTTTTTCAATTGCATTGTAATTATAAAATAATCTCAGATTAAACCGATAACTTTTCGGTGTCCCTCCTAGTTTTATCGACTGTTTTTGCATAGAAGAGGAGAAATTCCAAATGTAAAAGTAAACAAAAATGTACGCTAGCAAGGAAAAGAGGTTTGTAAAGGTATTTTTAATAAAATGTTAAGTTAAAATATATTTATATTGCTTATTATAGCATAAAAACGTGATCACGCTGGCACAGAGAAGAAACATAACTCTTCATTGAGATGTGAGAATAACAAGCACAACAAATTTGACGGCTAATAATCTGAGATTTGCCTGTGTAAACGGGGTGATTAAAAAACGAGCTTTGATTAGGATAATATTGATATGTGAACATAGTTTAAGATATCTCACTTGTATTTGTACACAATGCCATTTGCAAACATTTCTCATACAATAGATACTGAACTGACTTTTTACTCTAGAGCTGTAAAACTATCGATGGTACTATCGATACTATCGAATGGTTCTATTTTTTTGCACTATCGAATGGTCGTTGGCCACTATCGATAGTCTTTCTTTGAGGAAATATACATATATCAATATGTTTGTATTATATGTACTATTTAGTACGCATGTTTTTATTTTTGAAAATGGGAATTTGGCAACATTTGCTTACAAATCACTGTTTTTTACCTATTACCGGATTTTACACGGTTCAAGTATTGAGTTCAATTCTGCTGTCTAGTGCAACAGCCCTGCCAGCCACGGCTCACCACTTTCCCCTGAAATTCAAACGATTTACAAACACATTCACAACTTTTTAGTCATCTCACCCACACACTTACACATTTTTTGTTCGAACTGTCAAAAAAATGTCCCTTTGTTAGAGCTACATACCCGATAAGAATTCGTACTCTAATAAGAATTCTATGCGTTAGAGCGAGCAAGTTAGAAGCATCGGAGTTTTGATGACAGTATACATACGGTGAAGAAATGTCACTTTGCGAAAATTTTGAAGGTAAGGATACGTATTTAACAATTTTATTTAATTATAATGTAATTTCTTCTTTTAGACTGCAAAACAGCAGCGACTTGGTCACATTCTTAAGGTATGTATTGAGACTTTTTATATATTTATAAATTTGAATTGATATTTTTGTTTGTTTACAGGTTTGGGATTCACCATCAGCACCTTCTACGCTTGCATCTTCATCGCCAGGAGCACCATTAAAACCTTCTGCCCTCAGCTTCTTCATCGCCAGGAGCACCACCAGTACCTTCTATCTTCAGCTCCTTCGCCGCCAGGAGCACCATGGGTACCTTCCGCCCTCAGCACCTTCAACGCCAGGAGCACCATCAAAGTGTAGGTCCAACTTGTCAAATTTTGCAAAGTTGTAACCGAAACTTACATTTCTGAACCACCATAAATGATTTGCAACTCTTAATATATATCAAAAGAAAGGTAAACCGATTACCTTTCTTTTGATTATAACACCGTTAAAATCGCTTTACGTTTTCATAAAAACTTTGCAACTTTTGTAAACAGCTATATATAAGCAGTGAAAAAGTGGTAAAATTTTGCAAAGTTGTAACGAAACTGAATGTTTGTGCACCATTACAAATGATTTGCAACTGTTAATATATATTAAAAGAAAGGTAAATCGATTACTTTTCTTTTGGTTATAATATTGTTAAAATCGGTGAGCTATTTTATAGAAATTTTGCAACTTTTGAAAACATTATATGTAAGAAGTGAAAAAGTCACATTTTGCAAAGTTCTAACAAAACTGAATTTTTATGAACCAGTACAAATGATTTTCAACTGTCAATATATATTAAAAGAAAGGTAAATCGATTACCTTTCTTTTGATTATAATACTGTTAAAATCGCTTAACTTTTTTATAGAAAATCTGCAACTTTTGAAAACTGCTATATACAAAGGAGTAGTAGTAATAATAAGCAATTAAGCAGCCACATATGTATGTAAAAATATCTTTATTATTAATGTTAATTGTAATTTTTATTCATAATATGGATTACTAACTATGTATATTAGGTTAACAATGCATTTTGAAAAATAAATTTTGCAAAATAAAAATCAAAAAAATTTTAAGATTTTTTATTTAAACTTTTTAAGGTTATTTTGAATTCGCTGTGAAGAGAATGCAACCCTGCGCCAGCTGAAGTGGGCAATGCAGCTATATGTTTTCCTTAGGAAGTATCTGAATGAGTGCGACAGTGATGCAAGGCTCACACGTACAGGGGGAAACTGGTGAAAATCTGCACACCGCCCATACAAAGTTCACCAGATTTTTCACCAGTTTTGAAGTGAACGAAACCCGCGGTTTCACCAGATTTTTCACCACTTTTGGCTGGCAGAGGATTTACCAACACATACCCAACTTTTTTGTCATCTCACCCACACACTCAAAAGTTGTCGAAAAAAGTTTCCATAAGTAAGAGCAACGTAGCTATAAGAATTCGCACTCTTAATAAGAATTATATGCGTTAGAGCGAGCAAGTGAAAATCAGGCGAAATTTGACAGCGAATTTCAAATTTGATTCTAGTAGGCTGCGAAGAAAAACATCAATTTCGCGAAAAATTTTGGAGGTAGAAGCGATTTAATTTGATTAAATGTAATTTTTCTTTTATTAAATACATATATGTATATTTTATATATCCATAGATAGCCAAACATCAGCAGGAGACTTAAGGCATCAGAACCTTGAAGGTAAGAAGACTAAAGTTTCCCAATTTAACATAGTTTGGCTGAGTTCCAGGTTGGTATATTGCAAAGCATTAGCCTCTTTTATTTCTAAACTAAATATAACTAATGGAAAAGTGCAATAAGCGCAACCATGTTCAAACGTCGAATTGGAACTTAGTTGGGCAATTTGGTTGTTGTTGTTGTTGTTGTAACAGCATACAAACTCCCCAAAGACTTTTTAGGGAGTGTTGCTGGAGTGACAGTCCTTGGCCAGATATAAATCTGGGTCGTTCCGGTTACGTAGATCCGACTGTCGTGGTCACTTCCATCAGTTATAGTTTAGAAATAAACGAGGCTGATGCTTTGCAATATACCAACTTGGAAGTCAGCCTTTAACCATTGTTAACAGTTTCATTTGATTATAATGTAATTATTTCTTTTAGATTGCCAAACATCTGCAAAGACATCCACAGCACACTGAACACCATTGGTCACCAATAGCTCTCAACCCTACATCATACCAGCTACATTGCTCGGTGAGTTTTATTGTTCAAATCAGTCATGCCCAGCGCAAGGCACTTGCATATGGAATTCTGCCAGCGCAGGGCATTTGCTTATGGAGTTCTGCCGACGTTGGGCATGACTGGTTTAAATATTAAGAAACGCGGTTGCTCCAAGTGCAATGCAAAT